AGAATTCGAGATACAAATATATGGAGATTTAAAAACTCGTTAATTCAACGAACTTCTTTACTATTAAGAAAATTGAATTTTCTTCTTTGAAATACGATAGAATTTTTGTGTTTTCATTATACGTATTATATAAAATTTGCATATTAACTGTATATCAAGTTCTAATCTGTGGTATTCGAAAGAGACAAGTAGATGAATAATAGAATGTGAGTATTATATTCATCTCACACTAGGATGCGGCAGTTCCATTTTTATGGAACCGAACCGAAACCAACCTTCTGGAACTGAAACCATTTTGACGATTACTAGCGTCATCTTTTTTTTTCGTTGATATGATGAAACGATGAAATTTTTCATTTGTTTTGATGACGATCATTAAATACTTCAAATTATAAAAAAAATTCGTATCTATCTGATACTTTAACAGAACCGTTTCCGGTACTACATTATATACCAGAAACCGAACCGGAACCGCTGTTTTCTGATTTCTGGCGAATTATTTTTTTGAATCCAGTATTTCGTAGATATTTGACTTTTTTATTCTATATAGAAGAGATTGATTAAAATGAAGAGCAGCATCTTTTATTATTGAATAAAAAAAAGAAATAGAAAAGTAATCGTACAGTAAGATCAATTATCCAAAAATAAACCAAATTGTTTTAGAAATAGCGAAGGAAAGACGGTCGTTTGTTGTGAACTATTGTCCGTGTTATATGAAAGGCTTAATTAAATACTCCATGTTTAGAACATGGAAGGAAGATTAGGTTAGACTATGATAAAAACCAGAACCCAAAAAACAAAAAGAGTAATAAATGATATGGAATTCACTCTATGTACAAAAAGAAGACAAAAAACGAAGGTATTCAATAGAATTGTTTAGTTATAAGTGATTTCACCAGTTATTTAGGAGTTTTTTGAAAAAAATAGTCGTTGATAAATACGTGTCTAATTTAAAATGCGTTCTACAGGCTTCTTGTCATCGAGTTTTGGCTGAGAGAACATTATATGTGGGCTTTCAGCAGTCATTTGTTCGACTGTATTCGGTGCTTGTTGGCCTAATTCGTTGAAGGGCTTGATATGAGGATGTATAAATGACATATCGATCTTCGTACAAAAACCCATTCGAATACATGCTTTCTTCGGACAGATCTTATCGATTTTGGCATCCCAAAAGCGTTTTTTCTCTTCCCAGTGATGCTCGCACTTTTCTTGTACTGGACATCGTTTGCATAGTTCAAGCATATGCGAAATGAACTTAGCTACACGTTTCTTCGCGCACTTTTTCTTTTGAATCATTCGTTTTTTGCAACATTGGCATTTATCTATAAGAAGAAAGAAATTTTTACGTATATATTTTAATAATCAAATGAAAGAACAATTACCATCCACTGTATCTACAGCATTATCACCATCTATCTTCTCTTCGGAATCTGTGAAAAACTCATCAATACTGGTAGCATTAATACTGACCATTTGTATTTGTTTAACATTGCCTTCAACAATTTGTTGACAGAGAGCATCAAATGGACCTAATGTTGAACATAATTTCTTACCAATCTCCTCGACGAAAGCCTGTTCATAATCATTTACATTCTGAATAGCATTCGATTCACAGAGACCCATGATCATACAAGTATCTTGAACATTAAATTCATTAATGAATAAGCGAGCTTCAGTCGTTATTTCTGAAACGAGTTGTTGGTATTGTGACATGTTCAATTTTACATATAGATCAGTAAAATAAGCTGAAAGTTGATCGATTGCTTGTAAAGCTGCGTCTTTACGTGGTTGAAGAAATTTAACACATACAGTGCAATCTCCTGTAACGTTAGCAGGAATCAAGATAATCGGTGGTGAAGAAAAACATTGATGCATTGCCGTACAAACTTGATTCGGATTTAAAGAATTCAAATAAGTTTTGAAAGTGTCGATCAATTCATTGAAATATTCTTCACATTTTTCTTTTCCTCGACATTGTTTACATATATTTTCCAGTGCATTATGAACCGTTTCCTAAAGATAAATTAATATATTTAAAATCAGCCCTATTCAATTTAATTGCACGTCTCAAACTAATTCTATTATATACTCACCAGTTTTTGTAAATAAAAATCCTTCGATGATTGAATAGCACTGTTACATTCATCACATTGATTCATGTCACCAGTAGTTCGGGTTAATTGTGCTTCCTTGCGAAGATCATTGTCAAACCATTTGGTATCATTATCAAGTACGGTCATGTATATCTTAGTATAACGATGACTATCAGATGAAGCAACAAGGTGGACACAGAGTGCTTGAAAATTATCGAATTTGTTACAAACATCTTGAGTCAAATAGACTTCTAGTTGTTGTTCGAGTGATTCGGATGTGAATGAAGGAGAAAGATGGACAGCATCGTTGTTCGATTCTGTTAATATTTTAATTGAGCTATCATTTTCCGGTGCAGTGGTACAATAGCCAAGATGTTTACAAACCATATGTGGACAGATCATATCAATTTTTTTCAATATATGTCTCTCCTTTCGTCGAACCCAATGGCGACAATGATGAGGTCGTGAAGATTTTCGACACATATGCATACGTTTCTTCGCCATTCGTTTCACGATGAAATGAAAGCGTATTTTACGTTTTTTAATATGTGCTAGACAACATTGACATTTGTTGCCATCTTCATTTGAACACTGCATTCAAAAATATATATAATAGAATGAAGCACCAGAAAAAAAAGATAATTTTACTTCAGCAGATTTCTCATTATCAAGAGCTATTTCACTATCATCTTTAATCATCTTGCAAATGTCGAGCATGTTCTACAAGAAACAAAACGAGAAAGATGTGTAGGAAATAAAACTGATTGCAACATACCACTCCATTTACAATATGTTTATAGATCTCTACACTATGTTGAAATATCATTTCATGACACTAAACAAATTAAAAATTAAATAAAGAAGTAAAAACGATAATAAAGATCGACTAACCTGTTCGACAAGTTGTACATTGCCAATATTTTCACAATCCTCGTTCAGATACATAGTAATTTCATCTGCTGATTTTTTTTGATAAACATGTAAATCGTTTGTAGCTCGAACAATAACATTGCATAGCATTCTTTTCTGATTATCGACAGATTCAGACGAAGCTTCACTATTACTGTAAGTATCTTCATCTTTTAATATTGTTGGCGGAATCTTCTTCTCAGGTACTGAAAGATAAATGATATATATTCATTATGAATTATAAAAGATAAATATCTATTTAAAACTTGCCTAATAGTGAAGCTGGTGGTAAATAAGCAAAAGATGTTGTCACAGTTATGTTAATGACCATAACTGAAAGAAATAAAAAAACAATGATTAATATAAAAAGATCTGTTTTTTTTTAAGAATCAATTTATACTCACCAAGCAAAAGACCAAGAAAGGTAATTTTGCTCATTATTAGAAATTCTAATTTGTTTGAATAGAACGTTCAATATAATAAATCTAGAAAATATTTAATTTTCAAATTTATTAATTCTATGATAGAGAAAGAAACGGACGAATATTTTATGATCTGTTAAATTCAAAAAGAATTTTCACCAATGTAAAATTACTTCAGATCTACGTTTATCTTAAAGTGCAATCATTTTTTTTCTTCATCAAGTTATATATAGTCGACAATATTGTCTAAAGTAATGATTCAAATTGCAAAAAAAAACATGATGAGAAAAATATATATCCTACCATTCACCTGAGACGACGAAATAAAACAAAGTTATGGATGAATAAATCCGATTTTTTTTATTTCTATGAATGTACGATACACGTGGTAACAATATTGAATGATAAAATATCTGAATGTGCAAGCAAACTTGCTACGAACAAACGAAAAAAATAAATCGAGGACACCAAAAAAAAAAGAACATGAATCGGTATATTTTTTTGCGACGTTATTTGTTTAATAAAACATAAAATAGAAAGAAAAATAAAAATGCATTTAGTAACATATTATTCACAAAAAAGAAAAATATTTATTCAATACTATTCGTCAAAAAAGAAAAGAGAAAAACATATATACAATTTGAACAGAATTTATACTGTTGATTGAGAATCATAATTGGATGGTAATGTTACATCTGTTTTATGATTAATAACGATAGGAATTGTTAAAGATGTATTTTTATTAATTCCACGTATATGAACTTTAATATAAAGTTCGTATTGAACAAAAATAAGCCATTGAAAAGTTTTATTTGGAATAAAATATGAACATGACGAATTTATTCCATATGGAATATGTATTTGAAAATGTTGAGAATAATGTTCATCTTGAAATTTATTAAAATTAATTAAATTTTCTTTGAATATAATAGTACGTTCTTCTTTAATTGGGCCTAATTTTCGTAATTGAATCAGAGTTAATGATATTCGATGAATTGTTCGATGATTTGGATTATGTAAATCTATTTGAAATGGTAAATGTTGACCAATAAATGTTAAACTATTTTTAAGAGTAAACTTTAATTGAATATTGTCAAGATTTTTATTTTCAATTTCTAAAAATCTTCCTTGAAGAATTTCTAATGGACGTTTAATAATAATAGGAAAATCT